TGCTTGCTTTAAATTTGTGGATGAAATAGGTGCGACCATTATAGGAGAAGGTGTAAACTGCGAGCTCCTTGTTGCAACCAGATTTTCACTTGCCGCCATTGTCACAATGAAGCCACGGTTCCCTAACCGATTTAATTGTTCTTTTCTTTAATTCACAACCAGATTATCATTCAAGTAAATATTAATCTGAGATTTATATTTTTGAATAATATTCTTCTTTTAATAGGGTGCTTTGAGCAATCCGAAGGAACGTCATGAGCTTGTTCGCCATGAGGTTAAACAAGTAAGTTTTGACAACCTCTTTTCTTCGTTTTGATTTTGAAGTTTTTACTTTTATGTCAAGACTGAGCCTAATCTTGACAAAATTTTGGCCTTTTCTTGAAACTTTCAGGTTATTTGTGCAGTATGTGATACAGAACAACAGGTATAATATCTTCTTATCCAAACTTCCTGTGTTCTCCATGTCTCATTAAACACTAGTTTTTATGGTATTGTTGATGTGTTTTTGTTTCATTTTCTTTATATGTCAGGTTTCTGATATCTGTTCAAATTGTGGTGTCAAATTTGGTGAATACTTCTGCAACATCTGCAAATTCTATGATGATGATGTAATGATTTTTCTTATCCTATTTTAATAAATGTGGTGATCCAGTAGTTCCTGTTTCAGTAGACAAGATTACTTAAAAATCTCTAGCCACTACTTTCAGATTTGTGCAATAAGATAGCATCTATACTTAATGTATGCCGCTCATTGAATGACATTAGTGGTATTTTATGTTGCAGACCTCTAAAGAGCAGTTTCACTGTAATGAATGCGGAATTTGTAGGTAAAAGAGCTTATGATCTGGCCATTTCTGTGGCATCGTAAATGTTCTATATGATGAATAATTGTTCTGATACAAAATGTAATTCACAGAGTTGGTGGTCGTGAAAACTTCTTTCACTGCCAAAAATGTGGTAGGTAGTTTAACTTTCATGTCCTTGGTTTGTTTCTCATGATGTATAACCTTGTGTACAGTCATTTTATTTTTATAGTTGTGGCAATGTAATTATGTGCAGACATGGTTTGATGGTGTAATTTTTGAATGACCTTCATGATTTGCCTTGAAAATCTTCATGGTTTCATTTTTTTTTCTTTATCACTTATCTGTATAAGATTTTCCATGGATGCTAAATGAAAGAACACTTATACATATAGTTATAACTTAAACACCAGTTTTGACATATAAAGCTAGCAACGTTGTAAAATTCAGTTAGACGTAATGTTATCATGTCATGCATTTTGCAGGTAATTGTGTATATGTTTTACCAGTTAAAAAAGCTCTTTACCCTTTTCAAGAAATTCCTAATTTCTTATGAACAGATTGAAATCAGGAATAGTCTCTTAGTTGCCCCTCCAAAAAATAAGCACCAATATATATACTTATTGTTTTGCTACGCCTACATTTGGATCCCTGACCTGCCATTGTGCCAGTTACCATATTTTAAGTATCAGCTTGTCTATGGGCTCTTAATTATTGAATCCTCATGTGTGTTCATTAACAGGATCTTGCTATTCTGTGAGTCTGCTTGATAATCACCTGTGTGTAGAAAACTCAATGAAGAACCACTGCCCCATCTGTTACGAGGTTTGAGTCTGGAACATGATTTTGAGCTTGAAGTGTTCGTTTTGCCCATAGAGTGAATGATATTTTCCCCAACATGCAGTTTCTTTTTGACTCAACCAAAGGCACAACAATTATGAAGTGTGGACACACAATGCACTCAGACTGTTATAACGAGATGCTAAACCAAAACCAGTGACGTCCAACTTCTTCCACCTTTCTTCCTTTTCCTTGAATCAATGAAGCAGCTGGATTTTGGCTCTTTTTATCTTTATCTTTTACTTTTTATTTTTATTAAAATAACATGTGGATCATATGCTTGACTTATGGTATAGGTACCGCTGTCCAATCTGCTTCAAGTCAGTGCTCAATATGTCCAGAACCTGGGAAAGACTAGATCTGGAGGTATGATACTGTTTACTGTGATCAGATTCGTTATGCTTTTCTTCCTTATCTAAAATTGACTTTCCCCATCTTGCCTTCATTATGTTATTGGTGGGTCCATTATTAGAAAAATGGCCAAAATCTTTTATCTCTGGACATGATGCACATTGCTTAGCCTGACCTCACTGGGTTGAAACATGGATCCGTTTGTCTTTGCATGGATTGTTTATGTGAAATGATTCTCATGTTGTGAGTCCCTTTGGAGTTGAATGATCATCTAAAATATAAATCGTGAAATTTACAAGATAATTTGTGAATTCTGGCAAAGGGATTAACGTATTAGACACGATTTCCTCGAATCTCAAGTTCGAGCTCTCTAAACATTGTTTTCCTTGACAAATTTGGACTCTGAAACGGTGACTTAGTTGGGTTTTCTATTTTATTTCTCAAAAAACATGCCACTCTCGTGGTTTAACATCTGTGTTTTCCTCTAAAACATCTAGGTCCTGTAATTGTTACCAATATGCATAGATCTTGAAATGTGATGAACACTATTTCTATTCGCATTATATGTAGAAGTAGTTAAAATATATTTCAACCTGAACAGATCATGAGTTAAAAAGAAAAAATTCCAATGCTATGTGGCATTATGTTTTGCCTTCTACATTTTGGGGTCTTTAAGATCCTAGTACTAGGCATCCTTAGTTGTTGGGCTTCAAGTATCTTAACATACAACGGAAAATCTTAATTGTCTCTCGCCATTGTTAGTTTGTTACTGTCCATCTGTCAGTTGAGCACCGACATTTTAAGCTATCTTAAGCATGTATTATGTCCAGAGTTTTCTTTGTTTTTACCTTACAATTGTGAACATATGCATAAGATTGCACTACTAAATTCGCAATATCTCTTCTTGACAGATTGAGGCTACTGCAATGCCTGAGGAATACCATTATGAAGTGAGCTTGCTATCCGTATTTTCTTAAATTATTTGTGAATGTCCCCACATCAATCTATTGGCATTACCTTGTCACTGTTAATATTGTTATACATTTGAGAAATTTGATGGTAGCTTTAATCCAATTTGTATGTGTGTTCTCTTTTCTTTATAGGTTATATATTGGTATTTTGCATCTTGTTCTCTCTAACTGGTCATTTTTAGGGTCTAAAATTTTCCATCAACCAATATGCGATCTAATTTTCTTTCTGACATTTTCTTGCACTTCACAGGTTCTCATACTTTGCAATGATTGCAACAATACTGGAAAAGCATTTTTCCACATTTTGGGGCACAAGTGCCGGCAATGTAATTCTTACAACACTCGCAAGATAATGAATGGGCAGAATCATCAATGATTCCTGACCACATCCCAGCCTGAAGATCGTTCCGTAATCATTTAATCGTTCTTTGCTAGATTAGTTGGCCGTACAATCAATTGTGTAGGACATGAATAGACTCACAAATGTTGAGTGTTTATTATAGCTTATCCATTACTTGAAAACCAGTAGAAAATATGAATGTTTGTGATGATTTGTTTGATAATTTCCTGAATGGAAATTATTCCATCTACATTTTTTCTTTAACACATATTGTAACTTAGGCGTGTTTGATAGAACTTTTGAAAAGTCAAAAGTTGCTTTTGAGATTAAGAAATTGTCTTAAAGCATATTTGGATTAGAAGAGCTTTTGAAGGAAGTGGGCCTAAAATAACTTTTTCAGAAAGCTCTTCTACAAAAAGTAGAATCTTGCCAAATAAGCTCTTATTAAGCATTCGGGAGAGGATAGTAATGTCAAAACCGAACTTTGTTAATGTGGATGTTCGAGCAAAATATTCTGATATCTCCTTTTGGGTCCTTTGTCACATAAAGCATCTTGTCACATAAAGCATCTAGTCTTGGCAAGAAAAATGTTACTTGGAACAGCTGAAAATGAAATGTGTAAAGCTCTCACCCTTTACATGCCATTTTCATTCATATTTGTAGGTATTTTGACTTTTTCTTTTTTGTTTGTTCCTCAACGTATCAAAATCCTGCCTTCATTTCTTATGACTAGCCCCTAGATGACATTTCCTTCTCTTTGCCTTCAAATTGCCGAAAAGGACGGTTAAAGATCGATAAATTTTGTCATATTTTACAAGAAAGTAAAAGATATGATTTTAAAAAATCAACTTCAAATTGATGATAGAAAAAACGCAAGTCACCTCACCTCACCTACCCATTTCCTATTGCTTTCACCTCTAAGATAGTGTATCTAATGTCTATTCATTGATGATATTAACGTGCTAATTAATTAATTAGTGCTTTAAGTAATCTAGAAAAGTCAAATTCTACTATTCTACTTTCCTTCCCGTTGAATCTTCTTGAAAGTAAGATGAGACTTTTCTAGTTACTTTCAATGTTCCTCAAGCAAATTAAATGTAGGTTTATTTCCTCTTTACATTATTTTCAATTCCCTAGAAATGACAATTTGGAGATGGTACAGAAGTTAGGCTCGAAACTATGATAAGAGACATGTTCAGTTTGCGTGAATGTGAACGATTGTAGGTACTCACTGTATTGTCATACATTCAAACGTCCAAATAATTCTGAATGCACATGACAATATTCAATGTGAGTCCTATCAAATACCATGCATAAATACAGTCGTCGAGTCATAAGTTCTGTCTTTGGGCCAAATTTTGAAACAACAGAACCTGACCGTTGCATTATTTTTCATTTTCAGTTTTGAAATGATCAATCAACATTGACATTTTTTTCTAAATAGGACTCAAATGTTACATAAATTAAAAACTAGGACCTATTTGTTAAAATAAGAAAAATTATACACAAACCCAAAATGTCCGGTTGTCGACACGACAGAGATACTTCTAGTTCCAGTTATTCTTGTTCTTCTTACATGTATTCAACACACGTGAAAGAAGATAAGGTTTTTCCTTTAAACCTCTTCAAAAACACACACTGGACTCTGATCACTCACTGCACTTTCATACCAGAAAAAATCCCACAAAATCAACCATGAATTTTATGAAAGTGCAAGAAAATAGTACTGTTCCTGATACTCAAGATCGCATGTGCGATTTCTGCGGAGAAACCAAGGCCCTTTTGTACTGCGGAGCCGATTCTGCTAAGCTCTGTTTGGGTTGCGACAGGGAAGTACACTTGACGAACCAGTTGTTCAAGAAACACACACGTAGTCTCCTTTGCGACAAATGCGATTCTTCGCCTGCTTCTATTTATTGTTGTACTGAATCCTTAGTGCTTTGCCAGAACTGTGATTGGGAGAAGCATGATAATTTTAGGTTAACCCATGATCGTCGCCCAATTGAGGGGTTTAATGGGTGCCCATCAGTGAGTGAGTTGATGAGCATATTAGGATTTGAAGATTTGGGGAAGAAAAAATTGTTGGGTGATGGGGATATTGAAGGTGGGGATGAAGGGCTATTTTCGGATTTCTTGATTTGGGAGACTCCGTCTATTGTGAGTCTTGATGATTTGATTGTTTCGAGTGATAATTGTGTTGATGCTGGGCATAGTTTTCAGGCTGTGGGTGTTCCTCCTTTACCTAAGGTTTGTTCGTTTTGTTTGTATATTTTCTTAATTATGAAGGTTGGGTTTTTAATTTTTGTTATTTGATACTATGAATGATTAGGTTTCAGTGGTTTCACCAGTTCTTTTGTTTGATTATTCGACCTTAGCTGGGGTTTGCCAGGTTATAAGATGTCTGTGCGTGCTTAAAAGAAGCATTTTACGGCTTTCCTCGGCATCTTATGGGGACATATTGTCGAGAAAAGTGATTAAAATTGCATCTTTTAATATTTGTTACTTTGTATAAAAAAAAAAATTATTTCCAAATAGATCATTTTGGATGTTAAACTATGTTATTATGGGCTATGTTCTCTTTGTATTTGAGAGGGATTCTTAGTTGTAATTCTTTTGCTTGAGTTGATTAGCTTTTGGGTCCTTGGAGTTCTTCTCTTTGAGCTCAGTGCCGTGTTTTGCATTGCACTGGGATTGCATTAGAATACGACAAAGTAATAAGGGATACACGCAGATTAAGATTTGACAACCTCTTGAAATGGCTGGTTTATCTGGATATGTTCCCTTTATACGTATGCGACTAAACGATACTGCGTGCTTAATGAACTTGAGCCTTCTGTGGATTTTGACCTTATTCATGATATTGTTATGGTATCAGAATCGAAATGCTGTGTGTGGAAGGCACAAACAGGAAATCCTTTTCCAACTTCGTGAAATGGCAAAAAAAGGACCAAACTTTGATAATTTCACGGAAGACTTCAAACCCCATTTTGGACTTGAACCACAAGTGCCTGGTGGAAACTTCCAGTTAAAGGATAGCAGTCCCGACCTTGAACGCTATGTGGAGCCAGCATTAGGTCCTTTTCACGAGGTAAATCATCCTGAACGCATGACTGATATAGGGTTATTGTTTTCCCCTTTAACTACTATTTTCATTTTTCTATTGTCATCAATGAATGTTTAGTTAGAGCTAGTTTGAGAAATGCATGACAGCGGTAATACATACTTGAACGTGTGTGCAGGGAAATGCGTTTCCGTTGTGTGGCGATAGTGGTAGGGTTGCAGATCAAGACTTCTCTTCTACCTTATTAGGTAGCTACATTGACACAAACCATTTAGCACCTGATAAAGATTCAGATGTTGGTGACAGTCCTTTTCAAGCAAATGGAGGCCAAGAAGGTCAATCACGCGTTCCCATTAATTCTAAACCCTTTGAAGCAATTCCCAAAGTGGCAGCACGGGAACTAAACAGCCAGGAACGAGACTTTGCTATCTCACGGTACAAAGAAAAAAAGAAAACTAGGAGGTAATATTACTTGGTCTACATGTCATAATCTAGACCGTCTTTCGTTAACTCTTGGTTCACTGACCCTGAACCATCATAATTTGCTTTCATGAATATCCCTTGACTGATATCTTTTTCGTGATCAAGTATAAAAAATGTTCACATTTGGGTATTACTTGGCTCCAATTTCACCACCTCTATGCTAATATTTTTTCATTGTCTAAATATTACACTTGATATACTCAACATTATCCTGATTATTTTCAAATCATTCTTTTTTGATTTATTTTCTCAACAGAATTGATTCCCCTTCTAATCTCTTTCACTGTAACAATGTGTGCAACTATGTCCTTAGAAATATTTCTCTAGTTCTCGTCGTCAGTGCCTTGACAAACTTGCAAGGTTTCTGCTTTTTTTTTTTTTTTTCCTATTTGACTTTGGCTAGTCTATAAGCTTTACCCCCACCTTCCTTTCTAAGTTTTTGTATAACTTAACATATGCTTTGCATTCAGCTCTTTTATAACCTTTCTTGGCTTCCTTGTTTTCTTCTATACTTTCCAAGATTTTCATCCCAATTTTCGTGAAGAAATAATGGCTTTTAGGTTTACTCAAGACTGCCTCCATCATAATCCAAAAAATTCTAGGAAATCACATCTGTCCAATTAATCTTTTTTACTGAACTCATTATTACGTTTACGGAAACGGAACGGGAACTGGAGATAAAACACGAAGTTAATCTGTGGTTAATGTTTTCATGAAGATTTTGTTGTTCTGCATTTTTTGTCGGTTGGAGTTGTGTACAACGGTTTGAACTATGACATTTTGTTTCTGAAAGAACAGGTTTGATAAGCACATCAGGTATGAGACAAGGAAAGTACGGGCAGAGAGTCGAACAAGAATTAAAGGGCGTTTTGCGAAGATCGATCACTGAGACACTGCTACACAATGATGGGTTCAAAAAGTCTTGCAGAAAGTAGGATAAGAACTTTAGGATGAGATTCTTATTCGATTTTTACTAATTTATGTTGTGCTTCAAAAATTATTATATATTCGCCCCTTAGCAGGCAGTACACTTGCAATAATTTGTATATTCCTAGGTTAAAATTGATTATAGACTTCGAGTTCATGTTATGGAATGTAGTTATGTATCTTCTTGTTTAGATGGCACAAATTGATTCTCCTGGTGCTCAAGTTTCGTTTATGAAGATCTTGTTTTTGCTTATATTTTCAATCCAAGCGTAAGCGGGTGCGTTTTTCATGTTGGATGATCGAATAAGTAGTCTAAAGGAAATGTGAAGATCCATACAGCACGATCAATTGCATTGCGGGCATGTTCTATGTTGGAGAGTGATTCAATTCTAGGAAAAAGGAAGGAAAGAAAAGAAAAAGATTATAAAGCGAAGATTGAAATTCGAGGCAAGTGAAATCACTTTTTCCTTAGACATAATGCCTTACAACGGTACTAACGAAGTACAACACTTGTCTCTCAAGATACAACGGATACAATTTGTTGTAAAAACACTTCAAACCACAAGAAACAACAAATTTGGAACAAAAGTTTCCTTCTACAAGAAAAATGATTTTGAAATAATTTTTGGAGAATATTTTACAAGAGTTTTGATATAATGATTAATGTAAAAATGATATGTGATGCATAATTGACGTCCCAAGGATCCCATTACCCATATATATTAGAAGAAGGATTGTGAGTGAAGTGTCATACTCCAAATTTAGCAATCTTCACGAAGAGAAGCAATCCTTGTTGTCCCTAACCTCTCGCTTGAGCGACAGTGAGACGTTTTTATCAGAGCCTATCTCGCTCGTCTGTCGCTAGACTGACACTCGAGCGATGGGCGAGCTATGGAGTTAGCCATTTTTTAGCTCGTATTTCCTTTTTTCTATCGAACTTTGGACCGCATTTTCTCATTCATCCAGAATTGATTTTAAGATTCCAAATATACAACGAAGATCCACTCTACGAGTAAAACAAGTTAGTCTATTTATATTCATAATTTGACTATCGAATCAAGTCCGAATATTTGAACAAAGTTGACACGAAAGTCACTTTTTCGTACTTGACTAAAATTCTTTTTATTCTCTAAACCAAATTCCAACATTTTATACGTAGTAACATCGAATCATCCACCTCATCAAGCAAATTTTTCATATAACAGTATCTGGCACAATACTGTATTCAACAAGAATTTATTTATTTTTCCTTAAAAAGTCACCTGTACTAGAAACAAACATATATTCAATATGAGTTAGATCGTGTGGATCTCCTGTGGATATTGTAACTAGCAAGAAGCACGAGCAAAAGGAAGATGAGCGATCCATGCATGGACAAGATGATAGAAGCTTCGCTCTGACTACAATATTTCTTGAAAATGTGGCATACTTTGTTCCATTGCACGTGCGAGTTCCCGTTAAGGGCTATGACTCCGACGACCTCCATCGCTCTGTTGGCGGAGAAGAGCAGCGCCACCATGTTTAGGTCAATAGTATATAGAACCATTGCAGTACTGCCATATATGTGGCTCAGAGAGTACAATACCAACGATGCAGCTGAGTACAAGCATGCTATGCAATTTGACACCACAAAGTACCTGACATTGAATTGAAATATTGCAACAACTCAGAATCGAAATCAACGTGTGGTCCACTGTGTCTACAATTTAATACATACCAATGGGTTAATTAATGAAATTAACTGAGCAATTCTGTTGTCAAGGTGGGTCGATCCAAATAAAAATGTCGTTAGTCGAAGTCAAGAATGGGACTTCTGTTTTGGCCGACGAAAGTTTCAGTTTAATGAGCCTCGTTTTCAATAGATTTATTTCCACAATTGAGTGATTTGACCGATTGATTCGAAATCGGTTCTACTTCATTCAAATCTGTCTCAACTCCTTTGCGATTGATTGTTGAAAGAACTTTTGTACTAGTTCTGTACATGACCAATGAGAATTTTTCTTCTTCTTTGACAAAAAGTATTCTTGATTTTGATCATTGCGTGTAAATACTGTAATTTAGGAAGGAAAAGTAGACGAAACTCTTAGAAGATTAGTAAATTGAGAGTTGTGCAACTGCAATTCGTCACAAGAATCGCTTTATGTGACTCGAGCCTTCAACTCCAAATATAAAGACTCGTTTTTGTGTCAACAAGGGGCTTTAATAGTTAATTCTTTCAAAAGAAAACCCGGATCTCACTAATTTCTCCTAATTTATGATTTATTTCTCTGAATTACTAAATATTTACTCAAGATTTCTCATTTTTCTTTTCAATAGCATAATATTATTCTATTAAAATGTTTTTTTTTAAAAAAAACAAATTAATAAAAACATCGAGGCTTAGCTTACACAGTAGATGACATGTAGTTCCACTTAGCAGTGACTGTAACTTGTAAAGGAGGCAAAGTTTCAACAATGTTTATAGAAATAGTTTGAGTCTATTTGTTTACCCCCGCCGTCGCCAGTGTGAAAGCCAGCCCCATAATGCGCAGCAACATTTGGAAACAAATCAACCTCCTCGAATCCATCTCCGCCTTTGAACCACCAGTTGCTCCGCCATTGGTCGCCTTCAGCTGGTGGCTCTCCGTGAAGGATCGGTGAATGCCGATCAGCATGGAGAAATTAAAGTGCTTACATATATATATATGCATGCAAGCATACATAGTACTTAAAATGGAAAATTTGGTGACTGCATTAAAGGCTAGTAAATCAACCAATTTATTGGTTATGGTTAAAAGAATTAATATAACTTATTATTTTTGTTTTTAATTGGGATTTTTACTTATTTTTGTTTCTTTCTAATGAATTAATAGTGAATAATTATTGTTGTTATCAATTAATTGGTTTCTGGTTGATGGGATTTTTTAATTCTTGCTCTATGAAGTCAAAATCAAAGCCAAAATTGATATGCCATCCTACTCATAATCTATAAATATATAGGGGCCTATAAGCGACAACATAGGATCTACTAAGTGCCTCTCAACACATTTGTACGCCGTGCACTTCATGGTCGCCCATAGCTTAATCCTCCAGAAATTATAAATTTACATTAATACCTCATAGATTTGTTATAACTATGTCATCTTTAGCATTGTCATAATATTGTTTTGTATTTTTATCATCATTGAATCCTAATAGAAACTCAAAGTTCAATGTCGATTAAATTGTGCCCGCACTGAACGGATTCCCTGACTCCTTCCCCGTGTTAGTTAACATAGCAACTGATTTCATTCACAAGCAGTTCTGGTGTCAAAGCTGCTGAGACAAATGGCAAATGCCTGGAAAGCAGAGGTCGGGTACTGATAGTCCATTGTGAACACGTCCTTTGCGACTTTTCCGAATTGGAGAATAACATCCTCGTGCTCTTGTCCACCGGCTCCATTCTCAGCAGAAGCAACCAGCTGAAAGTTCTTCACAGAAGCGACTTTCACACGTCCATTGAAGTTGAGATACCAGCACTGGAGTTGTTCGTTCCATGTAGGAGACTTGTTTTTCAAACTTAGCATCTCGACTTTCAATGTTGATGATGGTCCGCATTGAAAACTATCTACGGAAGTTGATTTTGATCTGAAAAATGGAATGGAAAGGAACGAATCTAGGTTGCCATGCGGAAAATCAGTTTGTAGATGAACCACACCTCCGGGTTCAATTGCAGAAGCCGGTATAGAATCCATGATGCACCGCATTCGCCTTGGACCCCTATACCCACATTATATATTTATGTTAGCGAGGTAGAGTGAGTGAAACAAGGACCTCATCCGTGTTTAAAATAGACAAATGTGGAAACTTATGTTTGGCAAATAATTCACTCTCTTATAAGCTTTAGGACCCCACAAATTGTACGGGCCACATATAACTATGGCTTCCACAGCTTATAAGCCAAGGAAGTTGGGTTAAAAGAGAGAGAATTATTTGTCAAACATGGTGCTTGTTTGGGAAAACTTATAATCACATTATAATTTAAAGGTCAAAATCAAAATTAATTTTAACAACACATTTCATAGGACCCAAAACTACCATTCATTTATCCACCACTCATTTCTATCACAATATAACTTCAATAATGTAAAAATAAACCCAAACAAGCTAATGCTGAATAAGTATGTTTGTTAGATAATCCCTCACCTCGAACCCAAGATGTTCACCTCATATGAAATGTGGGCTACAGGATAGTTGCCATAAGGGACCATGGGATAGACTTGTTTCATTCCAACTAACCTCGTCGAACGAGATTTCGTAACTTTAGCACCAGCATTTTGGGGCTGTACATGTGAACTTGGTCCGCAAAAAATTAGATCTGCAATCATGGATCATAAGGAAATTTCAATCTGAAATGTGCGATTTAGAAAGCATTAAAAGCACATGCAATCAAAATTTACCTCAACTTTCCAACATAGAATGTGCTATCTTTTGATGCATCATCTGTATATGCTGTGCATCTAAATCTTTGAGCAGAAAGAAGGAACTTCCCAGCATCATTAGAAGCTGTCGAAAAATTACGTTCTTGTTACATTTGAAATTCAGTAAAGGAAACAATGGTGTATGACTTAATTAATAGCTATTAAATTTAATGCATCCAAATATGCACAAATTTACTTGTGAAATAAATACAATCCATTGAAATAGATGATTAATCTTCACCAAATTGAGGTAAAGGAGATATGTCTGAGTACCACGATTCCTTTTGATGGAACATTGAATTAGGGTGTTTCTTGGACCAGGCTACAGAAAAAACAATCAAAGAAGTGCACCCGCTCTCATACAAGATGGAAGTCGGGAAAGAAACAGCCATACAAAATGCATCTGTTCTAAAGGAACACAAATTGTTAAAACAAATCATTCAAAAATTTAGTGTACAATAAGAAACGTGTTCAAATGGTAACAGACAACCCCAAAGCAAGTTTCCACGGCAACAACTTGTTGCTGGGTTGGTTTTTAACGTGATAGTGTTAAACAGAAACTTCAAAAGGATATTGCATAAATGAATGCAGATGGGATTGCTGAGTGCTTATATAATCAAAATGTTATACTCTGGAAGGTAACAACTGCAAACAATTTGATTGTGCTAATATCTTTTCTGCTATAGTTTAGTTACATACATAGTTTCATCAATCTACGAATCAACAAATTAACGACTATTATGTCCAAATTTCAGGCACTCAACTGATCATGAAGTTGCTCTTATGATTCTCATGGCTTACCTTTCTTATATATTGGCCGAGGTAATTTATGTCCGATTTCTAACATCTATTTTCTCAATATTTGTTAGTAATAGTTTTCTTACTACAATTGATCTTGTTAATTAACAGGTGTTCGACTTGAGTGGAATTCTCACTGTATTCCTTTGCGTTATCGTCATGTCACACTATACTTGGCATAACGTGACAGAAAATTCTCGAGTGACCACCAAGTATGTAGCGTATTAAGGAACATCCTCTCTCTCTCAAATGCACGTGTTCTTCATACTATTCTCATAATTGCCTTTTGTCATATGATTTTTTAGGCATACTTTTGCATCATTGTCATTAGTCTCATAGGTTTTCATCTTCCTTTATGTTGGAATGGATGCCTTAGACGTCGAAAAATGGAAATTCGTAAGCCAAAGGTAATTTTTCATCTGCTAAAGACTCGGTTCAATACATTCTCCTCTGGTTTTAAAATTCTTTTGAATTTCTGCAGCCCCGGAAAATCAGTTGGAGCAAGTGCAGTGCTGCTTGTCCTCATGATGGTCGGGAGAGCATTGTTCGTTTTCCCATTATCCCTTCTATCCAATTGGACGACGAAGTCTGAGAGTGATCAGATTAGTTTCAAGAAACAAATTACAATTTGGTGGGCTGGTCTCATGCGCGGTGCAGTCTCTATGGCTCTTGTTTATAATCAGGTATCAAGCGTTCGAGTTCAATTCAAAAATTTATCTTTTCTTTGCCTGACTTTTGATGCGTGCGCAGTTTACACGGTCTGGCCATACTCAGGTGCCCCGGAATGCGATTGTGATCACCTGCACCATTAGTATTGTCCCTTTCACTACATTGGTAAAGAAGATTTCTCCTTATGCTACTTATTCTATGGAGATAGAAAAATAAAATATCGTGATCTGAAAAACGCACAAATCTAACATTTTTGTTTGTCCTTTCAGGTATCCGGATTGTTCACAAAGCCACTTTTGTGGTTTTTGCTACCTCAACCGGAACATCTCAGTAGCGTGATTCTTTCAGAACCGTACAGTCCTAAATCTTTCATGTTGCCCCTTCTAGTCGATGAGCAAGAATCAGAAGCTGGCATCGACATTGAAAATGGTTCGAGAAAATCTAAATTACTTGCGCTACTTAGCACCCCGAGTTCAATGGCCCACTATTATTGGAGAAAGTTTGATGATGCATTTATGCACCCCTTGTTTGTACAAATATCCACTAAATAAAATGACGAAAAAGCATAGAATTCTATAAATACCAGCAGTTCTCAAGGATGCTGGCTTAATCAGTGGTGGATCCAAAAATTCGAGCGAGTCATGATGGATCCAATCGAGCAGCCGCCTAATATATGGGGAAAAAAATTCTAGCGGAGCTATCACGAGGTAATGGAATGTACACAACTAGACCGCAACGAATGACTTAATAGCGTGTCAGGTGCTGGCTCCGCCCTTGGCTTGACCCCAGTTTTTTATATAGCAAGATTCATTTCATAGATAGAAGCAGAAAAAGAAACTGTGTATTTATTACAAGAATTCGTCTGCCTTAAATTATATGTACTAACAAGCCTTATGATTGTCTGTTTCTTGTTCTTCTCTCTCTATTTCTTTCCTTTTTTCTTTTTTCTTATTCTTTTTTTTAGCTGGGACAGGAGAATTAGAACATGTTACCCTTACAAGAAAGGGAGGCTGTCTAAGGCGAGGGGTGAGAGTCCCATAATATTAATGATTTCAATATATATAGATAAGTTAATAAAGTGTATATAGAAGACCTCATATAATATAGGTTTAAGGCCTCAAATATTCCACGGCTCGCCAAGCTGACCTTGATTGGATAGGAAAACAAATAAATATTTTATGTATCTTTTTAGTCCAATAGTGCTGAGTTCTGATGAAATTCATATGAAGATCGATAAGAAGTTTAACATGGTGTGATAAGTGTATTTCATACACTTATTTGAACCGTTAAATGTGATTAATTGTAATTAATTTTGATGAATTATTGCTTAATTATATATTGATTGTGTTTGTTAGGTAAAACTTGAGGAAATTGAGTGAATTGCAAGAAAGAAACGAAAAATATGCGAAAATAAAAGAAAATCAAAGTTCAGGAACCAAAGTGTAAACACTCAATAGTTGTTTCAGACCACAAAACGATAATTGAAAATCATATAGGATCAATTGGATGCAATTAGAGGTCAAATGAGTAAAATATAGTGGAAATATTTTCACAAGTCAATTTCCAATCAAAACAAAGTCATGTTTCAAATTTTCAATCTCAAATTGAGACCCATTTTTCAGGTAGCAAACGTTCGAATTAGAAAATTTCTATTACTAGAAGAATTGTATCCCTTTGAGTTATCTTTGCAAATTACTTTGAATCATCTCAATCGGTATTGAAAAAAAAAATTATGACAAAAATACCAAAAACTGCTCAGGGACGAAGAGACTCAAATTGGAGCGCATGAGATAGCAATTTCATGACCGAAGAACAATTCAGCATGCTTGCACGCGCATGCTAGCTATACCTGAGCATGCACCCATGCCAAATTCTCTGCTGACGAGCCAATTTCCTTTTTTGATTCAAACTCTTATTGGTAACAACTTTGGGACGATTTCTTGACTTAAATTCGACCCTTATAAATACAGAACTTTGGAAAATCATTGGGATAACTATCTCTAGCCTCTAAATACACAATAATATCATAAAACTCATCAAAGAACAAGTGGTCAATTCCAATATTTTGAAAGAGAAGTTCAAACCATAGTAAGGAATTGGAGCCAATTACATCAAGATTTTAAAGAATGAATACTTTGAAATTGAAGATCAAAATTTCTTGCATTATTTCATGATCCGACGATGATTTTTCATTATTCTTCTTGTAATTTATTTAAAATCGTGTTAGGCTAGATCCGTTTTATATTGGATGAAAATGAACTCTATTATTTATTTATTTTAATTCAAAACTAATAGTTTAGTATTTCTTGCCTTTTTTTTTTTATTAATTTGCATACTCATTGTCTTATTTAATTGCGTAACTAACAATTAGACAATTAGTTGCTTGTCGTAGTGTTGAAAGACTCAAAATAAGTTTAGAACACGGTAAAATTAATATATGTGCAATAGATGTTAGAAATAACATTTATCACATATGCAATCATATAGATAATCTAAATTTAAGACATTCAAATCAATCGAATTCAGGTTGGGAATAGATTCGGGTCGTGGTTATGATAAATTTAATTTGTCTTGGAAAAGAAAATTATATATCATAGTTTTATCGATTGTCGAGAACGCATGAACGAAACTAGATTATAAATCAAAAATTGAAATAGATAGCAATTGACGAATTTGAAATCCAGTACAATCATTCATAGTTTGATTAAAAAAAATCAAACTTTTACAGCTTTATTAAATTAATTTAGCATAAAATTAAGGATTTGGTTAGTTGTACATAAAAAAATGTACATAATAGATTATATAATATGATGTTGATAGAAAATATTAGATGAAAAAATTGATTGTGTTTCAAACAGAAAATAGTAGGTGTCGTGTTATGTAATCCATTATATAAATCTCGATATACATATAGCAAGATTCTAAAATCAAATCTCTTTTTTATTTACATAATTTGAATTACATACAAAACTAGTACATTTGAATTGAAAATTATTCCCTATGGGACAATACTCTCAACTCACTAAATTTATTACTTGTCAACGATCTTGTATGCTTGCGGATTTCACACAAGCATAATGATATATATGGCTTTGTTTAGATATAAGATCATGAATTAAAAACATCTCCAATAGTGATGTAAAATTGGGTGTAAATTGGTATATTCAAAATTACTTTTGCATCGTGATTTACATTCTGATGAATTTAAATCCAAATTCTACTACAATAAAAAGATCTAAATCAATTTGTTGTCTCTTGTGGATGTAAAAAAAAATTACGTAAATTTAAATCTTTTTTTTTTTTTTTACATTTTTTGTCGAAAAATGCAATTTGCATCTCTCCATTGGAAATGGTTTAGACCATTTTGAAAATCTAAGCCCCCGTTTGGGCTATATTTTTATCTCGTTAAAATGAAAAATATGACCGGTATCCATCACATCAACATTTAAATTCAAATTTTCTATCATTTATGTGGACCTCGATAACGGTTATATTTTTCATTCTCATTCTACAAAAATGTGATTCAAATAGGGCCTAAATCTCTATTTTATACCACCATTATTTGATGGATTTTAAAAAATTATAAATCGTAGTGAATTTGAATAGATTTCAACAAATTTCAGAAAAATCTCGTCAAATATGGTAAAATTTCAAAATATTTGTTTATAGGATTTAAATTTGAAATCCATCCAAATCGTTTAAAACCACTCTATTAATAAAATCTTTATAAATTTACTAGTGATTGAGGTTACCTAAATTTTAAAAGGTCTCATTAAAATTTCAGTTGAAGATATTTAAATTTAAAAAGATTTTTAAAATTCATCACAATCTCGATTGAAGGCACACTTTAAAGATTTTGTTATCACAATTAATTACATAATTAGTGCTTTCCACTCATTTAAATAATCTGCCTAGGAAAGGCAGATAAATAAATCCTGATTTATGCCACAAACTGGACAATTCTATCAAAAAATTAAAATACAAATCAACAAAGACAAATCTATTCGACCGTTGGCACTGCTTTTTTGGATATGTATGATAGACGCAGACGCTCCTCTTCATGCTCAATTTTAAAAAACTAATTGACCCATATACCCTTGGAATGGTTGCAGAATAAAGACCATTCTTTAGGGTGGAAAAGTAAATAAGTTGAATCTGCATGTGCTATTTAACCTCCATTTCTACGTGGATTTTGAGTATTCCAAAGACAAATACCACGTGGGGGTTTTTCATTGGATGAAAACAAGTCAAACAAGACAAAAAGTACGATATTTGAGGTGATTAGAAGTTTAAATTTTGTAGTTATCTCTTCAGAGTTCCATTCTGTGAGTGTTAGTGAGAGAGAGGGAGAGGAGAGAGAGGGAGCGAGCGAGCGAGAGAGAGGGTGGCAGCTGCAATTCTCTACGGTTCTTGGAAGAAATCAAGGGTAGATCTCTCTCCGGTGATTCTTTATGCATTTTCTTGTGCACAGTGTATACCAGTGCTTATTTTTTCATTTTTCTTTGTTTTTGTTAAGAATATAACTGTCAGTTGGGTTTTTTTGTATGTTTTTGAAGGCAAGAAGAAGAGAAAATGATGGAGGCAAAGAATAAGATGTCATCACACCACTGGTGGTTTGACAGTCACAATAAGGGTAACACAAATCGATCTCCATGGCTTCAATCCACACTTGCAGGTAAACCCACATCATTTAGTTTTTTCTTTCTCGTCTCGTCGTTCTTTCAATTTTATTTTCAACTTGCCTAAAAGTTTAAGCTGTTGTTCTTTGAATTTTTGAAATTAAAGATTTGAAACTTGCACAAAGTTACAAAAGGGCAGCTGAAAGATTTGAGGAATTTGAATTAACTTTAGAACAATTATTTGACCGTTGGAGATTCTTTTCTTTAATTGGAATCTTGAAAAGATTGTTTATTTGAGGTTGGTTTGTGTTCACTTTTTCAACAGTGGAAGTGAACAAAGTACTAATGTTTGGGTGAAATTACAATTTTATCTTATGATTCTTTATGTAAGTAGAAGATAAAATTGTGAAATAGAAATATTTTGTTCATTGATGCCAACCAAAACACTCCACGAGGTTAAATTTGGAAGGACATATGTTGGTAGTATAAATTTTTCTTTTTTATTTTTTCTATTGCAACTTATTCCGCCCCGTTGTTTGAAAATCCCTTGAGGCGTCTAATGTGATGGAATCACTAAGTGTATTAAAGTTTTCCCTTTAAAGTGTTCAGTTCATAAGACTCGAGGTGGTTGAGGTGTGCGCTACTTCCCATTCTCGAGGATATTTCACCGCTGTCGCTTTTCGAGTGATTTTTTCATATCCTAGAATGTCTTTATGCATTTGAGGTGGTTTTAACCCAACCCAAAATTATAAAGAAAGAATTTGTTGGTATCCACTCCTCTAAAAGCCGTTGTTAACATGTTTGGTTACGAAGAAAAAGAAGTTACAATCTTATTTGTTGTACTGTCTAATCCTCTCCGGTGCTGTGTACCAAAAAAGTCCTATCCGTGATGTGATGGTAGGACGGCTGTAGTTTACGTGCATAAATGGGAAGTGTGGTTGCTCTTGAGTAAAGATGAGAAAGATTCTACAAGGACGAGGAATCTAGTTCTTTTAGTGCTACATTTCAGTAGGTACATCAAAAGATGACATTTTCATAGCGGTTGGTTTCAATTCATAACTGTTAGGTGGTGATACAAGTTGGAAGCTATATTAATGGAAATAATTGAATTAGCATACACATTTTGAAATGCTAATACGTGTTTCGTGAACTTGCAGAGCTCGATGGGAAAACGAAAACAATGCTGAAACTAGTCGAGGAAGATGCAGATTCCTTTGCCAAACGTGCAGAAATGTACTACAAGAGAAGACCAGAACTCATTAACATGGTTGAAGATCTTTATCGATCCCATCGCTCACTAGCCGAGCGATATGACCAGTTCAAGTCTGAATCTGGAACCCGCCTCGTAACAACACCATGGTCATCTCCGTTATCTTTCAGAAAGTTTCAACTTGAGAAGTCAATAAGCTTGAGCGATAAATCATATGATAGCTACTCGGAGACCTATGGACCCGAGGAATCGGACGAGTCTGAGGTTGATGATCCGGAAGAAGTCGAAACAGTACAAGATAATGATGTAACTGAAACAGAAAAACTAATGATGCTGAAAGAAGAATTGAAGAAACTCGGAGAAGAGAACGAGGTTCTCAAGGAGCAACTACTGCAAAAGGATGACGAGAAACGGGAAGTCATTAGACAACTGAGTTTAGCCATGGATTTGCTGCGGGAGGAAAACATCAAGCTGAGGAAGAATTGTATCGCTTTAAACACGCCGAAGAAAGAAAAGCTTCACTTCAACAAGTCAAAAGACGGTTTCTTGGGGAGGTTGTTCGATGGATTTCTACCATCACAGACAAATCTTGTTGCTCTTTAGAGTCTAGATATGAATGTATGCCATTAAGCAGTATGTATGTACGCCATTAGGCAGATGTAATGTTATACAGTATATGGTGTGTAAGGATTTATATCAGTCGTAGGAATTTTCTCTGAACTAAAACATGGTACAATGTGTTTCGTTATTATAATTCATTCGTTCAATATCCTGTCAATCTCTAATATTTGTTGAGCATATAGAGAAGCCAAATACCATCATCCTAGAATTTGACGTGTCTGTTCTGTAGAAATGTACTCGCCTTCATCTTTGGGAGCTGCGCTGTCAAGTTACTAGAACAGAATTTTTTGTGCCGATAAATTCACGTGTGTACAGGAGCCCCTGTTTGGCCCCCATTTTGGGGTGTTGAAAATTTTTGGAATAGTGATTGATGGGAGAATGTGTGGTAGAAAAGTTTTAGATTTGTATGTAATATTATTTTATTTGATGAATGTGTGGTTGAAATGAAGAGAGAAAAAATTAATGTAATGAAATGGAAAAAAATGAGGGCCAAACGGGGGCTCAATTTCAAAATCTGAGACGCTTTTCGTGTTTCTAATTTTGTTTGGACAATGCTACATGTACACCTTTTTTTTTTACCTAATATTTTACATAAACTCACAATAGGATGAGTGGACCACACATTTTGGAGTTTTTTATTTACGCGTCCCCGCACATGTGAGAGGGTGTAACATTTTCGGTACAATTGTACAAATAGAATCATCCTGAAGGGAATATCTTATTAGAATCCAATCGATTCATGAAAATGCCGTACACCTCAATAAGCCAGTTTCTACTAACAATCTTTGCACACTAAACTTGACAATAAATGACACACAATCTACATATATTTAATCTTTAGTAAAAGTAGAAATTTTAACAATAATCGGAGTTGTCAACATCAAAATACCTTGGCCATCAATTTTGTGCACCAGAAAGCTGCATTCATCAAAATGCCACCAAAGATGAAACCAAAATGAAACATACACATCCCTGCAAGTTTAGAGCCACCGCAGAGGAATCCAGACGCTGCCCATCTGGCGGAAATGCAAATCCGGGGCCGGGAGCTGCCGTTTCATCGGGATTTGGGGGACTGGGGCTAGAAGGAATAGTAGGCATTGAGGACTCGCTAGGGGAGAGCTCAGAGCCACCTGGAGAGGGAAAAAGTGGAGCAATATCTGGTGATAATAGAGCTGGTGGTGGTGCAGATAATGGAGGATAAGGCAATAATGAAGGTGCAGCAGAAATAGTAGAGGCTGGTACGCTCAACTGGGATGCCTTTTTTAAGGCTAATGAAGAGGAAAACGCCACGAAAACCATAACTAAAATGAGGAATGAACTTACGGAGGAAGCCATTAGTGCAAAGGAAATTAATGCTTTAGATGGCACTCCAATGAATGTATTGATTTTTGAGAGAATGATGAAATGAATGATTGGTATTGAGGAAATGTATCATTATATCACAATGGTGGTTGGTTAGGAAGTGTGGTAATATATTCTCGGACGGTATTAAACAAGAAAAATAAGTCAATTTTATCGAGTATTGCATAAAAAACATACCTTATAACGTATTTAGTAACGATGGATGGATAATATTGAACAGTATTGAGGGAGTAGAGAAGCTATATTTTGCGGGTAGCACAATATTGTATCGAAAAAGGAAAAAAAAAGTTAAAATCTTACTCATTATACTAGCTAGTCGTGTCGACTATTTTGTACGAGACATACAAAAATCAAGAAAAGTTTATGGTGGGGTTAAAAATGCCAGATTGTCCTGTTGAGAAAAGAGACAAGATTTGATGTATGGCAATTGCTCTGGAAACACATGAAGGCTGAATAGGTTGCTTATGTCCTTTTCCCAAATGGCTGTTCTGTTTTTCAGTATTCATAGCCCGTGAAATTCTTGTCTGAAGAAAAAATTTATATTATTCAAATTGCACATGGGATGCTTTTTATTCAATTTGGAATAATTTGGGTTCTTGGATTTAGACTTTGGATGGATGAGATTGAAATTCAGCAAAAGGGCCGTACCAATGATTTGGTTATATCAATCTCTTATTTGGAACTTGGATGGGGTTAAAAAAATTTAAATTTTAAAACGATGAGAGAGACCCATTTTTCAACAAGATTGAATTTTGGTTATGAAAAAGACAAATGCAATTACCTAGGTGAAATGGAGATATTCTTCCCCACTTTATTCCTACTCTACCTTACCCTACCCTACCCTACCCTACCCCCACCTCACCTCAACCTCTCCAGCATCTCCACCTTACCCTACCCCACCTCACCTCCACCTCTCCAGCATCTCCACTGCAACTCCCCGTCCCCTCGGGCAAGGGGGTAGGGTGGTTTGAGGTGCATGTGGCAAATTATAATGTTTTCTAAAACGTTTCACCTCTTTTTAACCTTCTTTCCAGGTTTCTTCAAAAGACTCTCTCAATATGAAATGCTCTTTATTTTAAGGAATCAACCATTAATATTATGCTCCTATAAACTCTTCAAATTAATATTTTAAAATAGAAAGTAATTTTTTAGATAGAAAAGCTATTCAATTTCCGCTGCTTTGGTTCACGAATCTTTTCTAGTGGACTTGGGTAAAAAGAATCAACTCTCTAATTATATATATATACAGAAATGATCTAATGAACACCGGTGCTCATAAAGACAAAAAGATTGTCAGAGTATTTAAAAAATTTTAATCTCTAAATTTATAGATGTTTTCTAAATAGCAGGACTTTGAATAGCACTACTCTTTATATCATGCTGACACGAACTGTCTTTTAACTTTTGCCTGAGTCACATTTGAGTTTCCCAACGTTGCTTAATGTTGGATCCTCAACTTTTCAAGTTTATAGCACTTACATACTTGGACAAAAACCATCGGTTTTACACTGTTGTTTGGCATTTGTTTAGCCTTATCAAGTCCATTCGAACTTGACAGGGAAAACTGCAATTGCCATTCTCAATCTTACACAGTTTTACATTTTTATTTCCAACCTTCAATTGTGTTGTATATAATATAGGAATGTAACCGTATATTTTAAATGATTCATGCGCTCGAATGTGGAATTTATTCGTGCACAACACTCGACAAGATTAAGATAGTAAAAGAAAGATGTGCTAATAAGAAACATCTATTGTCAATCTCCGGTTAATAACGTGTGGAAGTATCATATCAATGTGCCAACAAAAAAAGAAAGAAAAAGGAAAAACGAGGTACAGCTAAAAAGTTTTATCTACCAACGAATGTCACTCCTAGTGTTCAAAATTGCCTAATGAATGAATAGAATAATTGGAATGATGCTAATGTTGGATGGAAGAGCAAACCCTCAAACTAACCAGCTCTGAGTGACAGGAATTTGAAAGAATCTTGGTTGAATCCATATTCCTTTCATTTGGCATTTTGATGTCCCGTTTGATGCCTCAATGCATTCGTTTCTAATGAGAAGATTGCTCCTACGTCCCGGTATAATCGCCCCACAGGTTGAAATCGAAACGTCGTCCTTCAGCCCTATCCAATCTTGTAAACCCGAATCTCTAAAATAATTCTGCTCATAACGAAATGGAAGGAATCCAAAAATTCTCTTGGCATCAGGTGAATAAGTTCTAATTCGATATATAGTGCAGTTTCTCTCCTTCCTCTCCTCTGTAGAGAAGGTCAAAGTTCTGCTCGTGTCATCCAAATAATAAAAGGTTCCATTTTTATCGCAGAAAATGCCTCCAACAGTCGTGCCAAAGCTCCATTTGTTGCGTTCAAATGTGTTCTTAGTCCACGTAGTGTCTCCTCTCTTAAGCACATTTATCTCCAATGTGTTTTCATCGCATCGATTGATGATTGACACAATGCAATCAAATGAAGTGGGAGGACACGAGAATGCTGCGATATGGTCGGACATTTCTTGGTGAGGGAACTGTGGGAGATCGATTCTGGCTCGTGAGAAAGGGCAGAAGAAGAAAATAGAGCCTTCCTGGAAGAGGAGTAGCCATCCCTGGTTCGATGCAAGGCAAGTTGAATCCATTAGCTTCGGAAAATTGATACTATAGATCTTCTTGACATTTGGATTATACAAAGTACATTTTTCAGTCTCTTCATATAGTATGAACCAAGGCTTAGTGTCTGGCACAGACTTAATCTCAGTCGAAGCTGTGGAAGGAGCCGAGCGCCAATCCTTGCAAACACCACGGAGACTAAGAAGATCGATTATGCCCAAAGAATTGGCAATTGGTGATAGAAGCTCGGGAGGTAGATCAACCCACGGAACTATCTGATCTTCCCTCAAAGACGACCTAAAAACATTGACATGAGCATTGCGTAAATGATCATCACACAGCTGTATAATTAATCATCAAAGATTCTTGTTCCTCGGATCTCCAAAAGAAAATGAGTGTTAAGTGATGATGGAATTAAGTGATGAAGGAACTACTGAAGAAATTCCATTCATCCAAAACTACGTTAAGATTCATAGAGTGATCCATATTATCATACAAAACTAAATTATTACAGCAATTCGATATTACCCATCTATCTCAAATTCAGCAAGCATCATTAAAATTACAACAGCACTAAATTAATCCCAATTAAAAAACAATCGAAAACACGAAAACAATCCATTTATTTCGAAAATAACAACAGATATACAGTTTCTCATATTCGATAAACAAACTCAACAAAACGAAATTAACAATCTCACGCATAAAAACGCAGACGTACCAAAAGAACTTTTAAAAAAATCAAATAATTTCTGACATTCATGGGCTCTATAGTTTATTAGAACTGGAAAAATCCAAACTACAGCATATGATTGACGAAATAATGGAATTGCTGGATTTACCCTTTAGAATTTGTGGGTGAAGATTGAGCCATTTTGGAGTATTAGCAGCAACAAATCTTGACAAAAATATATGATGGAGGAAAGCAAAGAATCATTGAAGACAAATTGAACAAGATGATTGATTATTACGATGATGTGCTTAATTTTAGGAATTGTTATTTATCTTTACATATTTAGTTGATTGAGTTGTACTATATATTGATGGTTTCTCAATAAATAAAAAAACAACNTATAAATCAATATCCTACCCGCACCAAATTTAAACAACACAACAACAACAAAAAATCAACGTATGAATCCATTCTCTGAACAAACTCTCAGAGACACAACCTATGCAATATGGGATACACAAGATTCGCAAAAAAAAAGGCGAATTCACACCGCCACAACATGTGACATTTCTTCACAAGGATGAAGATTTTAAAAAATAGTGATTTTTTTTTCACAACATTAGTATCCAAAACAGTTTTCATTCATTTTTGCAACAAACTTTGCCTCCAACCCCGGCAAAGTTTGAGGGAAGGTATTAACAGCAACAAATCTTGACAAAAATATATGATGGAGGAAAGCAAGGAATCATTGAAGACAAATTGATCAAGATGATTGATGATTATGATGATGTGCTTAATTTTAGGAATTGCTATTTATCTTTACATATTTAGGCCCCATTCGGGAGGGATTAAAATCCAATTAAAATTGAAAATATGGCCGTTATTCGGTCCCACTCATCTAATAAAAGTCAACAATAACGGCTATATTTTCAATTTTAATCCGATTTTAATCTCTCACATACAAGGCCTTAGTTTATTGAGTTGTACTATATATTGATGTTTTCTCAATGAATAAAATTACAACTCCCATTCCTATCCTCTCTAGAATTTCTTCTTGGAGGACTATCAATTTGGCTGGTGAGAAAGTCGTAACAGAAGGAGAGGTGCAGTGAAGGATTATAACTGCAGCTGAACTCTTTTATTTTTGAATTCTAATATGTTTAGAGTTCATCATCTACTAATATTTCTAAATAACACACTTCCAAATTCATGAGAGATGAATTGTGTGCAAGGTCCGCACCCCGTGACAGCCTTCTCCCCCTACTTAGTCGACAAGTTCGAAATAATCGATACACACATACGTTTATGAGTAGAATGTTGGATAATATTTGCATGTGATAACATCACAAGTACACACTTCGAAAATATGGATGTGGACATGTTTGGTGCTGATTCTTCATCAGCTTAAAATTAAAACATTGACCATTGCTTTGTCAAGGTAGACCCCACCTCTGAGATGGTTGGTCAAAAAGACGGCCTGATTTTACACGTAACAGTTATGAAATCAATTTTTTTGCTTCAAAAAGCAGGCCAGACATGCCCTATAAGTTATATAATTCGATGTTGACGACCTTGTCATGCTGTATGGAGAGAGGAGTACGTTCGATATGTGACATGACACATAGAATGATTGATTTTGAATTCGATTCACAGTGATCTTATACATGCTTTAATTCAATAGTTAATGTTTCAATGTGATAATAGATATATTAAGAGTCTATGGGCCTGTTTGGACCGGATTAAAATTTGATTTTAATCCAAGTTAAAGTCAAATAATCAATATTAACCACATTTTTCATAGATCATCTTTTCAATCACACATTTCAAAAACTTCTATCACAATCCACTAAAAATCTAATTTTAATCTCCCCCAAACACTCTATATAAGAGAAGTTGTTTAAGTCACTTTTTGATTTTCATTATTTGAAAATTTATTTTTTCTCAAACTCATTTTCAATCTTACATTCTTAAAATAAAATATTTTGTACGTAAATAAAAAAAAAAATTCCTACTTTTTTGCCTCTTATTTTCCAAAAATTCACCATTACAAAATTTATTTTGATAAAATAATGGACATTAAACGGGGGCTAAGTAAAACAAGGGCTCGTTTTAAATAGTGGTTTCTTTATATATATTTTTACTGAAGAATGCTTCAATTGCACATAAAAAGCACCATGTTTGAGCCCTATGTTTTTTTTAGAGGAATTGTGTTTCGAATAATGATTTTTTTGGAGAATGTGTGGTTGATAGATAAGAAAAAAATTTGAGTTTACATGTAAAATTATTTTATGAAATGATGTAATTGAAAATGAGTTTTGAAAAGATGAAGCTCAAATAGTGACATAAAATTATTTCACCAATCGATATTTGAAATAAACAGTTTAAATGGTCGACTATAACATTATTTTGTTAAATATGTACTTGATATATGCTTCAGACTTGAAATTAATTTTTTAGTACGTCATTGATTTGATCGATATGACATATTATGAATTTGATTTGGCCAGTTTTAACTCTCTTTTTATCATATATTTTTTAATAAAATAATATTACAAGTAAATTCAAAATTTTTCTATTTTTTTATTTACACGTTCTTTGAAAAATTAATATTTCAAAATATATATTTTCCAAAATTTAATTAAAATGGAGGTCAAGAAGGGCCTATTGGTTTTTTTAATTTGGGCCCAATAAAAGTTTACACTTCTCATTCCAGCCCGCACATAAACGTCGTCGTCCTTATTTCGCCGAAATCAATTTGCTGAAATCTGCACCAAATATTTATCGTTAATATCAAATTTCTCTTTCGATCGACTTCACCAAGCTTCAACTCGAGGTCATTTGTACAACTTTTACATAATTATGTTTTTTTTTATTTGCAATTAATGGTTATTTGTGGCTGAATAATAGTTTTCTGTGATTTTTATGTTGTCTTTGCTGTAATTTTTCTCTAGTTGTTTCAGTTTCGTCTGTGATTTTTCTGTCTAACTTTTGGTAGTACTTAATTTTGGGAAGGAGTGGAAATTAGGTTTTTGAATTAGTTGTTACAGACTATATGAAGAAGAGTAAAGTTTTTTTCCGAGTACGAATTTGGCCATTTTTTTCATTTGCTTATCCCTTGCTGCAAAAAGAAGAGAATGGGAGTGGAAAATTCGTAGATTTTATGGGGATTCCATTTATGCTATCTGTCGATTGAATATGAACTAAAGGCTTTAAAAATCAGATGTAAAACCTAGCTACCATATGTGAATGCACAAGGGAAGTTATGGAGAGGCGTTGAATTAAACCAATTTGGAAAGAAAAGGGAATTTTTTTTTTTTTTTTGATAACCGTGGATGTCCGGGCCAACTTGCGCGCACCTCGACTAATCTCACGGAGCATCTCAGTGGCCCTGAGGGGACTCGAATTGGTGACCATTGGGGAGCAAACCCAAGATCCGACGAATTGAGCAACCCCTCAAGAAAAAATGAAATGTATCTCGCTGTCACAATGTACCAGAAAATTATATTATGCTCTTCATCCCCACTTTTTTCAAAATATGTTTTTCTTTCTCTTATTTTCAACCACATATTGTTCAATAAAATAATATTACACGCAATACAAAAACTTTTCTTTTATTTTTAACCACACATTATCCATCAATCTATTATTCCAAAATTCATTCTACACAAAAAATGAGGCTCAAACAGGCCCGTACATTTGATTTCTAATACTCGAGACCATTTTCATAAGTGTAAAATTATTGTCTTGCTGGTGTCTCAAACGCTCGGCAATTGTTCTCATTTCCAGATGGCTGGACTAGAAAAGAAATGAGTCAACTTTTAGTCTTCTGAAACAATTGAATGCCTGGTCAAAAGGCTTTCATTTCCCCTCTATGTATTCTACAGTGTATTTTCTTGGAATTCTTAGCTTTTTTTGACTTCTATATTGCTGTTGCTTAATGTAAGAATGCTCTTTGTGATTTAGAATTGAATTCATGTTCCAAATGCATACAATTGTCACTTGTGAGGTATTTGCACTATTTCATCTGACTTTGAGAAGAGGCTTGGTTAGCAGAAAAGGATATGGCACGCACAAGACAGAGGAAAAAAGTTCATGTTGCCACTGAATCTACTTCTAGAGAGGTGTTTTCGGACAAGAAAATGCCGGATAACCAGAAAAAAGGTAGGAAAGCCACCAAATCTAAACAAATAGTGTCTAGCAAAAAACCAGTGGAAAACAAGAGAAAAGGTGGAATTGCTGTGGGATCTGCTTCAGCAGCAGGAGTTTCTGATGAGAAGCCTCCCAGGGGTCTTGATTCCGATCCTGAGATTGCAGGCAAATCTCCAATTCAGAATTCTGCACCAGGCAAAGAAGCAAAAACCATTTCAGAAGTTCAAGCCATAAAAGGCAATAAAAGGAAGAGAAAAAATGAAGGAGTAGATGAAAGTAATAGTAATAAAAAAGAAGGTACAAATGATGCAAGTTCACATGGAAAAGAGAAAATGGGAGTTTTAAATGAGAAAAATGAAGATGAAAAGTCCGGGAAAAATCTTGGTGGACTGATTTTTATGTGCAATACCAAAACAAAACCAGATTGTTTCCGTTACCATGTGATGGGTATCTCAGCAAGCCGGAAAGAGTTTGTAATGGGCATCAAGCCTGGTCTTAAGCTTTTCCTCTATGATTTTGATCTCAAGCTCCTGTATGGAATCTATGAAGCATCTTCTTCTGGTGGCATGAAACTTGAACCGGCTGCATTTGGGGGGGCCTTCCCTGCTCAGGTTGCTATCTCTAGATGCCTCAACTTTGTTTTATATCCATTTAACTCGGGGATATTTTTATAATGGTTTATCATTCTACAGGTCCGCTTCACTGTTCACAGGGACTGCCTTCCTTTACCTGAGAATATATTTAAGAAAGCAATCAAAGAAAATTATGATGAAAGGACACGCAAGTTCAAGACAGAGTTAACTTCTTCCCAAGTAAGAAGATAACCTTTTCTTTTCATTCATCAGTAGTTTTATATTTTCAGAATGTGTATTTGTCGAAGTTAAACTACAAATATTCCCAACCGCTGTTTCTCTTCCTCCAGGTAAAGCACCTGTCAAGATTATTCCAGCCGACCCCAAAGTTGCATTCAAATGGTAAATCGTTGGTTCGCGGTTCAGAATTTGTGTCCGTTCCTGCTCCTGCACCGAACGTCTTGCCAACAGCAATTTTGCACACTGGGGAGAAATTCAAACATCATGGCAGTATGAAACCAGGAGAAGACATTATCCAGTTTGATAAAGAGAAGAAACTCTCTGAGCACCATGTGTCTTCCACTGAAGTTCGTTCACAGGGTCCGCTTTTTCTCACAGAGCAAGAATACAGAAATTATGGTCTTCGACAGGGAAATGATTTCTTGCCAACTGCTGTAGGTGGTACCATTGGCGGTGCACAGGAGCATAGAAATCTTGAACAAGAGAAGGATCAGTTTCAAAGGAACCCTGCTTCTACAAATAACAATGTAACTTTGCAACAGAGAGAAGTCAGTCGACCTGATACTTTTTTTCTCAGTGAAAAAGAGTACCGCACTTATGGGCTAAGAGGTCCCCGTGAAATGCCTACCGAGGTGTCTCCTGTGATAAGAACTAATCAAGCTGTTGAAGAGGCATATAATCCTTATAATGAAAGCACCACATCACTGGTAAATCGATATCTTTCGCTGCCACCAATGATAGAAACAGCACCTGCCAGATTACATCCTCCTATAAATTATCGAAACTCCACAACCACAAGTGGTGCAGCAATTCATCTGGGAAGAATAATTCCTGATGGAGAAAGATCATATTCATCATATGCTCCTCGTGAACTTTCTGAATACAATCAAAGACTGCTTCCTACACATGCTTCCCTGGAACCACCTGAATACAATCAGAGATACCTCCTCCTTGGTGGCGAGACCAAATCCATGCCCACAACAGTCTCAAACCGCTATGCTTTTGGAGGACCCTATGTCAAACGGCACTGAATGAATCTCTGCACTCATCTCGTTACCTTCATAAAATTATGTTTTAACAGGTACATCCGGCACTCTCAAGCTTTCTTCTGCGGATCAAGATTTGATCAAAGAGTTGTAACTCTGCATAAATTCTCTTTATTGTACTTTCTATTTCTGTACTTGGATTCTAGACTCCTAAAACCTGTATAGGGGAAGAATGCTCGATCAACTTTTGAGAGGATGTGGCATACCTTTCATGCTAAGATTTTGCATGCTGATTGATGAGTCGTGTGGGTCTGTTCTTGTCCAAATCAATTCCAAAGCACTACTTTCCTTCCTGTCGGGATTAACGCTATCCCTCTGTTCAATCTGAGACTTTGTTCTATCAATTTGCTTTATTCCCATGGATTTGTAATCAGTCTTAATTCAGGATGGACGTTCCAAGAGTAAAGAGTACATTTCTAACACTTCGAGTAGCATTTTTAGCTAATGTATGTCATCATATCTACTATCGATGAATATTATTGGTCTTCTGCATCTCAATCAGTAGTGAATGATTTTGGTCTTCCACTATCCGTTAGCTAAAGAAATCTGGTTTAAAACCAATGACGCAGGAGAACATCGAATGTATCGTGTTGTTGCTGTTATTTTACTGATATCAAACTCTTCTAACTGTTAAACTGATATCGGGCTCTTCTAGCGCCGCAGAACCATACTTTTGTGATTCATTTCAAAAAAGCAGATGTAAAACTCTATTGAGAAAATTGTAATTTTTTTCTGAATAACGTTCTCTATCATCATGATGATAAATCATCGGTGGCGTGACAATCTATGTAGAATGATGAGATTGAACAATTCAATTTATATGTGAGAGAGAGAGAGAGTGAGAAATATGAAGGATAATGAGTTATCACATCATCGATCATTTATCAATGATGATAAATGACATTACTCTTTTTTCCTTGTTGCTAGTACTGAGAAACCAAGTTTTATTCTCAATAAAGTTGGAGTTAGTAGCATAAATTATTTGTATCCGTTTCATTGTTCAATTTTTGTTGTGAATACCATTTGAAGATGCTCATAGTAGATGTAGATCTCTGAAAGTTGGTTATACTGAGAGACTAAAAATCGTTTACTATTAAGGAAACAAGGGAAAAAAAATAAGAAGGATGAGCATCTGTCTACCATTCTTCATAATGCTTATAGTATATAACTGTGTCTACCATTCTTGAGTAACTATTTTTTTCTAAAACTCATTTTCAACCACATTCTCGTAATAAAAAATTTTGTACGTAAATCGAAAACTGTTTCCTACGTTTTATTCACATTCCCCAAAAAATACTATATTAAAACTTTTTCTCCAAAAACGAACTCTTTTTAAAGGAGGGACTAATATTCGTGTTTTCCTTGTTTGATTTGTATCCTACAATAGACAAGCCAAAGATGTTTTTGTCTCCCCCTAACCTATATGCTACTGTTCGTGCATATTGAAATAAAAAATTGTTTATTAAAATTTTAAAGTTAGATTCTAAAGTTCACCTTCATCGAAGAGTGCATAAAATGACCATTCATTTCAAGGAAACAACTGCAAAGGTTACAGATCACAGTACATCTTTAACAGTTCCAAAGCCTCTCAAATAATGATGAATAAAACCATTTGTACAGAAATAGTGTTCCAGAATTCCGATAATGATTTCAGTAATAGGTATGCATTTGCAGTCTACGGTACAAGGAAAAAAGGTCATTAATCTTCATGAGACTACCAAGTTCATTGCACAATTTTTCAGTCATTTTTCAGCAATCTCCTATTGATGCCACTGCCCGAGAATGTAAAAGTATCCAACTACTGATTAGTCTCGGGAGCTTGGGCATTCGTATTAGAACCATCAATGCCTGCAGTTGTTGGTACAGGGGCATTCCCTGGATACATTTGGGGTGTAAACATTGATGGGGCACCACTGGTAGGCATTCCCGCACTTCCAGAAACAGTCGGGGGAGGAGCACTTGCAGGCATTTGAAAACCATTTGCTTGGCCAGGTGGAGCACCAGGTGGAGGTGCCATCTGGGGCATTGGAGGAACCATATAACCTGGCGTAATGAAGACTTAAATACAAAGTTCTAGAGAAGCAGAATACCATTCAGATTCGCCAGATTAAGAGAATGATTGGCTAAGCTTGAAAAGTTTAGTCACGTCTTAAATAAATAATGTTTTTATGGGTCAAAGTTGAAAATAAGTTATTTATATTGACAGTGAGGTAAGTAACCTTTTTAAAGAGTAAAGTACTGTACCCACACATAATTGGAAATAAAAAGATACTTCATAGTAACATTTACTTCTTGTTGAGCTTTAGCCAAACATCCTCTCAGAGAAATCTATTAGCTAACACCTTCCATTTTTTAGCACCTGATATTCCCTCCCCAAACCCGTTGATAAGCATGCAACAATCCCTACACTGATTTAAGTCCCAGATCATGCAGTGTTCTTCTATTCTTGATCCTAAGATAGAAAACCTAGAAGACTACAACTTGTCAAATGCCAATTTCCTGGGACATATGCTTCAATCAAATACAAGCTGAGCAAAAGCAACAAAAGAAGTAAAATTTAAGGGGAAAAAGACTGGGATCATAATAAAATGTTTCGCCTACCAGGAGCTCCAGGCATGGGCCTTGGCAAAACTGGAGGCCTAAATCCTGGAAATTGAGCGCCAGGAATCGGCATTGGAGTAGGTAGAATTGGTAGACCAGGTCTCATCTGAGGATATGGAGCAACAGAAGGCCTAAATGCCCCAAGATGCTCCTTGACCTTTTGATCAATCAAACTTTGGTTCAATTGTGCCTCATATTGTTGATAATAAGTTCGCACATTTGCCTGCACAGTTAACAGGGAAATGTATAAAATAAGATTTACATAACCCTCCAAGCAAGAAATAATACGAAGTTGGGGGCAGGTGGAAGTTAAAAGTGAGAATACCTTATGTTTGTATCCCGCATTATGTTGTTTTCTAACAGAAGGCTGTACACCCCAAAAATTTCAAAAAATAAGCAATGTAGGAAAGTGAAGACTTTACAACATTAAATATCACATAAATGCTAAAAGTGCAAGGAATAACCCAGATAGTTCTTTGAAAAACTAAACTTACAACAACTAAATAATCAAGAGGAGCAAGAAAAGGAATAAAATTAAGACATATACTTTTTTGCGCTTGCAAAACCAATTCAGAAGCAATAGTAACAGAAAATAAACAAATTTTAATATGACAACAATAAAAAAAAATGGTAGAAAATTTAAGCATTATTGAACCTATAGCATCACAATCTTCTTTCTTTTCCCATGGATAAATTTCAGGAACTTATGAGAAGAAATTTTTCATCTGAACATTCGCAAAAAACTTAACAAAGAAATATAAAGAATTACAGAAGGAGGATGATGACTCACGGAATCGTGTGTCAAGTAGGTGTCGCAATAATCACAATAATACCTGAAGACAAAAAACAAATAAATCAAAAATTGAAATAAGATGACACTAAATTCAGATATATTATAAAAAGAACAAGAAAAGAGAATGATAATACCTGGGCATTATGTGTTACGAAGAACTTAAAACAATCTGTGAAACAGCGAAACAAGTAGAAAAAAATCATACACCAAAAGAAAGAACAAAACCCTAGATCGCATAAAAATTAACATATCAATAAATATTTACAGAAATGCTCAGTCTTTACGCACTAAATCAAAATTGACATCAGTGCAGTCATATAGTGAAATAGAAAAGAATACAATAATCCCAAGATATTCTTCTACCCAAAGCTAACGCAATGACAGAATTCAATCCTCTGCATAAGGAAATGATGGGATTCCAACAGCAAAACCTAAGATTAGCAACAAAAAAATCATGTTTCAGTCAAAGTCAACACTATTACTCCTCTTGGGACATTCTTTCAGCCAAATCCACATAATATATGATTATATTCTATTCAAAGCTAACCCAATGTAAAATTCCATATAGAAGAATGAAAATTAGAAGGAAAAAAATACAAGTATTGCATTAAGCATAACCCAAACAAGTACTATTAAAGATATCTATGAATTTACAAAGACCCAGTTTGAAAAAAGTACCAAAATAGTCTACTTCTAGCCTTTGGATGATTTTCAGTATGCAAGAAGACGTACTCAAATGGAGAAGATAAACCATAGAGACTATACTATACTGATACTTATACTGCTCAAGCACGCTCACCTAAAATTATTGGGAGCAGATTTGGTTAGGGTTGAATTTGGGACAAAAAGAGATTGAAGAGACGGAATTTGGGACAATACAATTTGGGTTGTGGACATTGGACTGGGGCTGGGTGTGCTAAATGGGCCAATGGAGAAACATTACAATGGGAAATTATAAAAAAGAGGAAATTACAACTAGCCATGGTTTTAAAATTTTCAATTCAAAAATCAGGTTTGGAGTTTATTTATATAAAAATCAGGTATTTCATTTTAAATATTAAATATTAATTAATTTATATCTAAATTATAATTATCCAAACCCTAAAATTCAAAAAATCATTTATCACATTCTCACACACCTCTCCTTCACTCTCATCTCTCGCCTCTTTCTCTCTCTCTATCG